ACCGCGAAATACTTAGAGTATCACATGAAGAAGGTAACAAAAACCTCACGACTTTGACCTAACAACCAGACGTTTCTGATCCAGAATCACCACAGTGGTCATTTCATTTGCACACCCAATGAAACCCAGAGGAACACCTCTGAACAAAACACCCAAGTGTTTTTTTTCTTTTTAAGAGTATTGGTCCTAAAGTTATTGTTATTTTGGTGCTTGATGTGAATCCGTTTTAATTATGGGTGTCGAAGCTTATTATCAATTAAATCAGAAGATAAAATGCAGCTCCTATTGCCTTTGTTAAGAGAAATGAAAAAGATTTTATTCTCTTCTGGAGAGAAGCGAGGAATGCTTCAGCGCCTTTTTAAAACCTACAAAAACTTGGATTAATGATGGGTATTTCTTAATGGCTGAGTAAAGTGCACTGATTTCAAGTCATTACTGCCTATAATACCTGTCAGCTTTTACTTTTCAGGTTGAGTGGAACATTAATAAATTTGACTGATGGAACAATTTCAAGGACAATGGCAAATTAGCTTAATTTTTACATTTTAAAAATAGGAAGTCATCAATGAGCTGTTAACACAAAAAAAACTAAAAGTATCTTATGATCTGTGAACCCACCCAAGATTGCTGTTATTTACACAAGTGAAATAATACTTACATAAACTAAAGGTTGTTCTAACAAATTAGTTTAAGCTTCTGTATAATGTGGTATCTGAGCTCAAAACAACCTCTTAAGAGATGGTTGATATGAAACTGTCAGTTTCTCTGAATCAGCTGAGCCACATCCTGAAAACAGATCTCACAGTTTGATTTTAAAGAAAGGAGCCTTTTTGATTCTGTGGACATGAATGCAAGTTTTGATATAAAGTAATGATGGTTTAATCAAAGCAAGTGACCTTGATGACTAAAGAGAGGCCGAATAAAAACCATAACCGAAAAAAAAGTAAAAAGTGTAAAAGACATGATGGTGCTGTTGGTTTGAATATTTTCTCACTTTTATTTGTTTCAGTTCATCTGTTCACATTTGTMTTTAGCATAATTAGATGTTTTTTCTGTCTTTAAAAGTGTACACGTTGATGTACACATGGGTGAAGAAATATCAATTGTGTGTATTGTAGCAGTAAACAAAGGATGCATAGTACTGAGGATTAAATGTTAACTTTTTGTTTCTGATGAAACAAAAAGGCCAGAAATGAACAGATCTGATGAAAACCAGCTCTGAAATTCACTCACAAATCTAACGTATTAAAGTAAAGTATTCCGTGCAGGATCTGTTCTCCAGCAGTTTTTAAAATACTTTAGCAAATGTTTCAGTTCTCAAAAAACTATGTAGTTTGTTAACCCTTTGGTGCATCGTGACCACTACAGTGGACAGCTGTTTAAAAGTCATTGTTTCCTAAATGCAGTGGTTTCTTTAGTGGAATTACATACTGTATCAGTCCTTAGAATGCTCTCTACTGCTCCCCTCCATTGAGGTCAATTCAGTGGTTAGTTGTTGTAACTACAAGTGAACATCATCAGAATCCAAGATGGCTGCCAGACAGACACACTTGTTGACTACTCCTGCAATATTTTAGTAAATAAGTATGTAAAATATATATTTATGTAAAATATATATTTATAATTTTAACTCTCCCCACCCCATGCACAGTGACTGTTGGATATGGGCATCATGGACCCCCATGACCCTCAAAGATAGAAGTAATTAAAAGATAATGGATTGATTTTTAACTCTTAGTTTTTCAAAAACAATTTTTAATATTTATGAGGTTTCTAATAATCCTAATAGCTAGAGGCAATCAAAATTAGCACAAAATGGCCTGTTTGATGAAGACTGTTCTTTGTTTAGGACTAAACAGAAGGGCCGTAGAATGTTAAGCGTGTGTGAAAGTATGTTCATGTGCTTTTCAAAGCATACAATGGAATATGTGCTCATGGATTTATAATAAAACTCAGATGTATTCATTCTTCAGTTAAGTTCATACTGTTTTACATTGAGTGCTTAAGCGCGTGTAGTGGACATTTCTGTAACTTCCTGAAAAAAATCAAATTTAAAAAAATCATTGTTTTTTCATGCTCTGAGTAAAGACACAAAAAAATCTTGACTCTGGATTTCATAATTCATGCATCAAATGGTTAAAAATTTTAAAGCCAGCTTACAGCATATCTTTGAGTTATACTATAGCTCAGACCTGTCACAATAACACATTTTGCTGGATATTGTCTCAGAAATTATCATGATAAACGATAATATTATTTGGAGACCCTTTTAAACTAATTCTAATGATCCCCACAACCCTGTAAACGTAGCTTGTAGAAGTTTTTGAAATTTATGTACYTAAAAAAAAAGTTATGAARTAACCTGGACCGGAGATTGGGAAAGCACAGCAACAGCCTCTAAAACTATAAATTCCCACCACCTAAACCCAGGCCGGCGCAATTTATTTTGTATGTGTCGTCCTTGGGCTTCATAAAATAACCMCAGTCACCTGCAGTCACCATAACACCTAACGAAATTTCCGAAAGTTTACAAATTTTATGGAAATTTGCATACGAACTGGGAGTAGAGTTTGTGAAAACACACAACAGCATTGCTACACACCTGGATCAGTTTATTCTGTATGCGTCTTCCTCTGGCTTCATAAAATATTTGCGGTCACCTGCGTGCTGCTTATGAAGTTGACAGAAATTACTCAGTGTAAGAAAAAAAAACGCAACTCGGTGAACCCAAAAAGACAAATGGAAATTATCGACCTACACTCACCGGCCACTTTATTAGGTATACCTGTCCAACTGCTCGTTAACACTTAATTTCTAATCAGCCAATCACATGGC